GCAGGCCCCGCCTGGGTGAGCCGGCTTGGGAGGGAAAACGGCAGCCGGGGGAAATGGAGGCCGGCGGGGGCAGGGACAGCGGGATGAAGGGGAAGCAGGGCGGCTCCGCCCTTGGCCTTGGAGGTGGCTCCCTGCTCGCAGCTCGCAGCTCCCGGCCAAGCAGCATCGCCCGCGCTGCCCTCTCCAGCCCCCATCCTTCCCAGCCCATCCTGGCTGCTCCAGAGAGAACACCCAGCATCGGCATAGGCGAGGGGGGGGGGGACACAGAGAGGCAGCGGGCCTTTCAGAAGAATATATTGTGTGATGCACTGTGACACACTGCACCTTCCATGGCAAGCCTTTATTTATCTTCTAAATTTTTATATGCTATTTTCTTTTTGGGGGAGGTTACAGGGGTGAAGGGTGGATATGGAAGGACTAGGAAATGATTGGAATTGAGGTGCATGAAGCAAATTCACAAAGAATCAACAAAAAATTTTGTGAAGAAAAAAAAATCAAACAAGGAAAAAAACCCAAATGAACACTCGAAGCTCAGCTACACAGAGAAACTGTCTCAAAAAACCAAAACCAAATGAACAAACTAGCAAACAAACAAAAAGAAACCAGGAAAGAGTATGAGAAAAGTAGACAGATGCAGAGACACAGATAAACAAACAAAACGTATAAAAACTCAAAGCCAGAAACCATAAAATGTTAGACCCCCTGGACAACTCAGGTCTCCAGGGTCCCAGCCCAGGACTTCAGTCACCCCAACCACCAGGCAGATTCGAAAACTTGCTGCAAACTGCATGAGGCTTTATTATAGTTGTTTAACGAGCTAACCCCATGTTAGCTCGGGTCTTTCACCCACCCACCATGGCGGATGGCTAGCAAAGACAGACCGAACCGGCTACAGAGAAATCTTGTAGGGCAGTGTAAGGGGAGTGACTAGGGGTATGCACAGGCTCAGGTTTGGTGTGCCTCCAGGCTTGGAGGGCTTGCCCTGTGTTGTTTAGCCAATTGGTTGTTTTGGCCCATAGGCCCTCCCAGGGTGGTTGCTATGCTCTGCATGTCATTGCTGTGCACTTGTCTGTAAAGCACACCCAGAGCCGTAAAGCATAGCACCGCCAGCTAACTTCTGATTGGTTCCTTGCCTCGAGGCAGGCATCTGACTTCTAGTGACTAGGACAAGGTCTTGGCAAGCAAGTGTTACTGTCATGGCTGCCGAAATGGTGGTTGTTGAGTGATTGTTGAACATGCTTTAATTCCACCACTCAGAAGGCAGAGAAAATCGGGTATCTGTGAATTCAAGGCCAGCCTGGTCTACAGAGTGAGTGCCAAGAGAAGCTCCAAAGCTACAGAAAAATCCTGTCTTGAAACCACCACACCCCCCAAAAAAGAAAGAAAAAACTAATTTTTCCTTTGGGAGTAGTTGTTAATTGGAGATGGTCTCTTTGCTTCTTGGTGGGGGTGGGAGCTGACAGACATTTTTGTTTGTTTTTCAAAACAGGATTTCTTTGTACCTTTGGAGGCTGTCCTGGAACTTGCTCTGTAGACCATGCTGGTTTTGAACTCACAGAGATCCACCTGCCTCTGCCTCTCCAGTGCTGGGATTAAAGGTATGTGCCACCTCACCTATCATGTTTTTCTGTTTTTTTTTTTTTTTTTTTTGGTTTTTCGAAACAGGGTTTCTCTGTGTAGCTTTGGAGCCTATCCTGGCACTCGCTCTGGAGACCAGGCTGGCTTCGAACTCACAGAGATCTGCCTGCCTCTCCTTCCTGAGTGCTGGGATTAGAGGCATGTGCCACCAATGCCTGGCCCTATCATGATTTTTAAATTACTTATTATGTGTGTATTTTGCCTACATGTATGTATGTGAACCACATGTGTGTCTGGTACCTAGGAAATTAGGAGAGCATGTTGAAGGCCCAGAACTGAAGTTACCGATGCTTGTAAACTGACATGAGTCCTTTGCATTAGCTCTTAGACCCCTGGAAAAACTCAGGTATCCAGGGTCCCAGGCCACGATTTCGGTCACCCCAATCACCAGGCAGATTTGAGAGCTTGATGCAAACTGCATGAGGCTTTATTGTAATTTAACGAGCTAACCCCATGTTAGCTCAGGTCTTTCACCCACCCGCCATGGCAGATGGCTAGCAAAGACAGCTCCTAGAGGCTGCATAGAGATCTTACAGGGCAGTGTAAGGGGAGTGTCCAGGGGTACGCACAGGCTCAGGATTGGTGTGCCTCCAGGCTTGGAGGGCTTGCCCTGTGTTGATTGGTCAACTGATTGTTATGGCCCATAGGCTCTCCCAAGGTGGTTGCTATGCTCTGCGTGTCATTGCTGTGCACTTGTCCGTAAAAACACACCCAGTGCTGTAAAGCATAGCGCCATCAGCTAACTTCTGATTCCCTTGCTACCAGGCAGGGATCTGACTTTCTAGTGATTAGGACAAGGTCAAACAAGCATGTGTTCAGCTGTTATGGCTGCCGACAGGGGCAGGCATCTGACCTTAGTGACTAAGACAAGGTCAGACAAGCTGTTATGGCTGCCGAAATGGGGAGCCGGTCCCTTCATAGCAATAAGTGCTTTTAACCACTGAGCCCTCTCTCAAGTGCTCAGACATTTATTTTAGGAACAGTGAGGTGATTCACTGGGTAAAGGCACTTGCTATCAAGCCTGACAATCTATGTAAACCCCAGAATCCACTCGGTGGGAGAGAATCCCTAAGAAGTTGTCCTCTGATCTCCACAGGAAAGCTATGGTGTGCTGCTTACATGTGCTTACTCACACAAAGCAAATATGAGAGAGAGAGAGAGAGAGAGAGAGAGAGAGAGAGAGAGAGATCTTGTCAGATTGTGAAGCCAAGCTCCCACCAATGGGATGAAAAGCAGTCACCACCTACATCAGGGATAAAAGAGGCCATTTTGGCAAGGCTTAAGTGTTTTTACCAGCTAGATTCAGGTTCCAGTGCATCCATTTGCAAAAGGAAATCACGCATTTAATCCCAGCACTCAGGGGGCTGAGGCAGGTGGATCTCTATGAGTTCAAGGCCAGCCTGGTCTACAAAGCGAGTTGCAGGACAGCCAGGACTGTTACACAGAGAAACTCTGTCTTGAAAAAACAAAACAAGTAAACAAAACCAGACTAGCTGTGTTTAAAATGGGGCTGCCTTGACTTAATGTCTGTGACTTTCATTTAGGGACAACTAACTGATGCCCACACAAGAGCAGACCACTGAAGGTTCTTTGGTCGTTTCTGGAAATCTGATTTCTGTCCGCTAGTGCCCTCTCTCTACTTCATCAGTCCAGTCGCCTTGATCCTTCTTCCAGTCCATGATAAGAGCTCTACGTATCTGGTCCGTTCCGCCTGCTCCAAAGGCTTGCAGACGGTCAGGCACAGTGGAACTGAGGGTGCGAGCCCAGAGGCGTCCCAGAAGACTGTGCGCGCGCGCACCAGCCTGGCCCGCCTCTCTGACCGTTGACCCGGAAATGCTTAAGGCAGCCTCTCGGATTCCCGGAGCACACCATGGTATTCCTCACGACGCGGCTCTGGCTTCGGAACCGCATCACAGACCGCTTTTGGCGGGTTCAGGAGGTGCTGAAACATGCTCGGGTGAGTGCGCGTGCCGGGATCCCATGGGGGCACGGGCAAGCAGGTGCGTGCGCTTCCATCCGGACACCCTTCCTTTCTCCTCGTCCAGCATTTCAAGGGAAGGAAGAATCGCTGCTATCGGCTGGCCGTCAGGGCGGTGACCAGAGCCTTCGTTAAGTGTACGCAGGCCCGCAGACTGAAGAAGCGGAACCTGAGGACCGTAAGCGCCGCCCCTGGGAGCCCACCCCGATCACCCAAGCTTGTTCTGCATCTTCCCTAGAGCTCGGCTCTCCTTCATACCAGCCTTCGGGGCTCAGCCTTCCCTCCCCTGGAGCTTGGCCTTCATCCCTTGGGAGTTCCCCTCACCTCCTTGGACAGAAGCAGTGTCAAGGGTGAAAGGCTCGGTATTGGTACAAGACACGCCTAAACCAAGTTCTCAGCACAAAGGAAATTTATTTGTCCCATAGGGACAAAAAGTCATGGAATAAGAGACAGAAGAGAGCCGGCGTTGGTTGCGCACACCTTTAATCCCAGCACTTGGGAGTCAGAGGCAGGTGGATCTCTGTGAATTTGAGGCTAGCCTGGTCTCCAGAGCGAGTGTCAGGATAGGCTCCAAAGCTACACAGAGAAACCCTGTCTCGAAAAACAAAACGAGAGAGAGAGAGAGAGAGAGAGAGAGAGAGGGAGGGAGGGAGGGAGAAGCTAGAGGACAGGGAGAAAGGGAAATGGCTATGGGAGAGCAGGGAGGGATACTTATCTTGTAGGGACAAAGAACTGGATAGAGAGGAAACAGGCTTGGCCCCTATGCAAATGATGTTTTATAAAGGTAAAAGTTGAAGCCTCATGTTAGAGAAAGGTGTTTGATTTTAATTGGACAGGTTAATTAGGGTAGCCACAGGTGACTGTTGCTGGACTTCTATACTTGGATACCTGGACCTTGGTAGTCAGCCTCAGGTGGAGGAAGTGGCCAAATAAGGGCTCGCTTTAGGAATGTAATCTGTTTTCAGCAAGGAAGATGGAATAGTGGACGGGAAAGGCCTGCCAAAGCCATGTTTGTCATGCTCAGACTTGCTAGAGTCTCTTCACAGGTGTTTCTTTTTTTCATTTGAGAGCTGTACTTGGGGTCTGGGTTGTAGCTCTTATAAGTACCCATGAGCTAAGTCAACAGGGCCATATGAAAGGTCATTTTTGACCTCGAGAGTCAGAAAGTGCTTCCTAAAGGCTGGAGACATGGCTGCAGTTAAGAGGACTTGTTGAACTGTATCATCTGATTTCTGTTCTCAACACTCATCTCAGGCAACTCACAATTGCCCATACTTATAACCACCGGGGATCTGACACCTTCTGGTCTCCATGGGTACCCACGTACACGTTTATATATATAACCGGAATGTGGATATATCATGATGACTGTGTTCACAGTCTGGACAGTGTTGATTTGGGTTCCTGTTCTGTTCTCAGCTGTACCAGTCTTTGGGGTAGGGTGGTGTTGCCCTTGGTATTTATTTGTTCAAGCCCAAGTGTGCTGCAGTGTTGTGAACATGTGGGGAGTGCTCAGTTATAATATGAAGAGTGAGTATTTGCTGCCATAGTCGATGGTCTTAGGGCCTGGGGCAGTCCTGGGATTTGTTAGAAAAGCACCCTTTCAAGGTCCTACTTTGAATCTGCTGAATCAGACTCGAGAAGAAGGGCCCAACAATTTGTGTTAACAAGCTTCCAGGGATTCTGATGAAGTTCAAACTTGAGAAGTTTTGGAACTATGTTGTAAAAAAAAATGCTTAAACGATCACTCTTGTTATTCTTTTGCTTAAATTAGAAATTTGAGAGAGATGGATATGGAACATGAACTATAGAGAGCTCATTAACCAGTTTATTATAGGGCGAGAGAGAGATGGAAGAACAGAGCAGGGCAGAGAGAGAGTTAGTGGTTGACCACTGGAAAGGGAGAAAGGAGAATAATGCTACAGGTTTAAAAGGGGGAGCTTACTTGAGCATTCGCACTGAGTCTCTAAAGTCGCCCCTTCTCCATAATGAGTGACATAGCCATGACATAGCCATGACGTGGCCACGCAACACATGGCCCTTTAAGCTGCCTCACCCTGCAAAAGAAACCAACCCACTGACACCTGATGTGTAAGAACAGAGAGGCACACACCTGATAATACTGAGGAAATCTACCATTTGTTGACCAGTGGCTCTTTGATTCATACTTCTAGATTCTTGTGTCTTTCCAGATAGGTGTTACGGTGTTTGCCTCTGCCTGGCACAGACCCTACTATTCCAGCCAGCCAGATCCATCAAGGATCCTCTCTCCCTGAGCTATGTTTCTGTGTCTGCCACAGAATCTCAATCTTTATTTGCAGTGGGTGACTTCCTTGCTTGTCTTTTTTGAGGTCGAGGAAGGCAGTACTTGGGATTGAATGAACCCAGGGCCTTGAGCATGCTAGGCTTGGTTTCTTTGCATATACTCATGCATATACACAGACATGGCAGAGGATAATTGTCAGGAGTCAGTTCTTGCCTTCCACCTTGTTGAGGCATGATCTGCCTTGCTGTTTCTGCTATATCCTGTACTCCGCTGGTAGGGCTATGAATTCTTGGCTTAACCATAGGAGTGCTAGGATTATAGGTGTATGCTACTACACCTGACTTTTTTACTCGAGTTCCAGGGTTTGAGCTCTGGTCTTCAGGATTGCATGTCACTGTCAGCCATCTCTGTGACCTCTGAATTTCTGAGCTATATCCCTAGACAATTGTGTGCACTGTGTGGAGCATAGAAGTCAACCACAAGTGTCTTCAGAAGCCATCCATCCGCCTGGTTTTTTTTTTTAGAGGAGGTCTCTAATTGGCGCCTGACCTGCAAGCTCCAGGGAAGTTGTGTATCACAGAGCACTAACTTCCCTGTTTGTTTTGTTTTGGATACAGAGTCTGGCCATCCAGCCCTGCCTGCCTTGAAACTCACTGTATAGATCAGGCTGGCCTCAAACTTGAGTTGTTCCTCCTGGCTTTGCCTCCTAAGTACTGAAATGTATGCATGCAGTACCACCTTAGCTTGCTTGTCATTTTTAAAGGAAAATTTTGCTTTACTCTCCTGCTCTCCTCAAAGACAGGGTTTTTATATGTAACCCTGGTTGTCCTGGATCTTGGTCTGCAGTCCATGCTGGCTTTGAACTCAAAGCCTGCACCTCTGCCTCCTGAATGCTGGGATTAAAGGTTTATATCACCTATACCACCCCCTCTGTGTGTGCATGAGTGAGTGCTTGCGTGAGTGTGTATGTAACATTTTGTTTTGTTTTGTTTGTTGAGACAGGGTCTCACTGTGTAGCTCTGGCTGTCCTGGAACTTGCTATGTAGACCAGGCTGGTCTCTTAACTCCCAGAGATTTGTCAGGTATTGTCAGGTATTGCCTTCTGAGTGCTGGGATAAAGGCTTATACCACCATGACTATCTATGTGCATTGCTTTTTTGAGACATTGTCTCGATATGTAACCTAGGCTGGCTCTAACTCCTGATCCTCCTGCTTTTTCTATGGAGTGTTGGCTGCTTGTAATTCAGTGGGGCTTGTCTGTATGAAATATATCAGCCTTTGCTGCTGTTTATCCTAAAAGCCTGTTTCCTTGAGACAGGGTTTCTCTGTGGTAGCTTTGGAGACTATCCTGGAATTAGCTCTTGTAGACCAGGCTGGCCTCGAACTCACAGAGATCCTCCTGCCTCTGCCTCCCGAGTGCTGGGATTAAAGGCGTGTGCCACCAATGCCCGGCTATATCAAACTTTCTTAAAGCAGGCTGTAGTGGTACAGACCTTTAATTTCAGCACTTGGGAAGCAGAGACAGGCAGATTTCTGTGAGTTTGGGAGCAGCCTGGTATTCATAGTGAGTTTCAGGATAGACAGAGCTACACAGTGAAACCCTGTTTCAAAAAAAGAAAGAAATCAATATCAAACATCTATTTTAATTCTAGCTCTGGATTAATCGAATTACAGCAGCCTCCCAGGAACATGGCTTACAGTACCCAGCATTCATTGCCAACTTAATTAAGGTAAGTTGAGGGCCTTATCGAGGTGTTGAGCATGTAAAGGAATCATGGCATCAGGTGTAAGCCAGCCTGGTAATAGTCCATGGGTAGACATGAGTGTTGCTAGGGATATACCCTAACTACTTTCTGTTGTCTATATGAAGTTCTGGAAACCTATCTGCTTTCCCCTTTCCTTGTAAATAGAGCATATCATACAGTTGCCTGTCAAGATAGTCAATCACACTGTGTTAATTGAATAAAACCAACCTTAGGTCAGCAGGCAGAGCCAGTGACTGGTTGGCAGAAAGAAATCATAGAGTCAGAGGGAGTCTGGAAAATCATAGAGACACAGGAAGTAGCAGGGAGGGACTTTGAGTGTGGTGGGTTTTGTTTGTTTGTTTTTGTTTTTTTGTTTTTGTTTTGGTGGAATGGAAGGATGCTCTATTTCTGAGATGCGGGAAGGTCAGCTAGTTGCTTCTCAATCTCTCTGAGCTAATAGGTTTTCACCCCAGCCTCTGACTCATGAATCTTATTGATAAATAGAATGATAGAGATTTAATTAAAAACTACTTTTGGTGGCAACAGAGGCAGGAGAATTCATCAGGACATAAAAATCCCACCAGGCCACTGCCTGAAAAAAACAGGTCAGAAACTGTAGAGCCACAGTTACTGGCTGAAACAGCAGTAGATTCAGGTGTAGCTGTTGTGCCATTGTGCTGGTAGAAAAACAACATTTTGGTACCCAGTGTGAGGTATCAAATGTAAGAAGTCTTTCTTTGGCCCACCAGTTCCCGAATAATGACACAGAGACTTTTTTTTTTGTTATTTGTTTGTTTTTGTGAGACAGGGTTTCTCTGTGTAACAGTCCTGGCTGTCCTGGAATTCACTCTGTAGAACAGTCTCGCCTTGAACTCACAGAAATCCACCTGACTATGCCTCCAGAATGCTGGGACTAAAGGCATGTACCACCATCACCTGGTGAGACTTTATTATGAAAGCTTAGGCTTATTCCCAACTAGCTATTAAAACTTAAATTAACCTGTGTATATTAATCTACATTCTGCCACATGACTTACTACCTCTCCTCCATACAGTATGTCCTATTTCCTCCATGTCTCTTCCTAGAGTTCCTACCTTCGCCTAGAAGTCCTGCCTTTTCTCTCCTGCCTAGCTATTGGCCATTCAGCTCTTTATTAAAACAATCAAAAGGTGCCTTAGGCAAGCAAGGAAGGACAGAGACATATCTTCACACAGTGTGATCAAATATCCTGCAACAGTTGCCAATTTGGATGTTTCTGTATGAAAGGAAGAAGGTTTTTAATTTTTTTAATTTTATGTACAGAAGTTATTTTGCCTGCATGTGTGTCTGTGTACTACATCTGTGCCTGGTGTCCTTTAATGCCAGAAGAGGGCATTGGATCCCTGAGTTATAGTTGCTTATAAACTGCCCTGCAGGTACTGGGAATTAAATCTAGGTCCTCTGGAAAAGGAGTAAGTGCTCTTAACTCCTGCCCATTCCTTCCAGCCTCCCACATTTTTCCTTTTAAAGAGAGTCCATAGTAGACATTTGCTTCCACCTTATCCCAGACATTTGTCCTGGGTGAGCTGAAGTGATGTTATTGATAGAAGCCTGGCTTAGAAAGCGGATTTAAAGTCACAGGTCTGCAGGGTGTGGTGGTGCATACCTTTAGTCCAAACACTAGGGATTGGGAAGGGGAGGATGACAGGTGAATCTGAGTTTGAGGCCAGCTTGGTTTACATAATAAGTTCCAGGACAGCCAAAGCTACATAGTAGATTTTTGTCTCAAAAAAAAAAAAAAAAAAAGTCATTCAGTCCCAGGTCACACAATAAGGGTGTACTTACTTAGTGCTTGATAGCAGTATTTATTTACTATCTGCAACCTAGCCCCTTTTCTTCTTTTTTGGTCCCCTGGTGGAAGTTACCTGCTTTCTGAAATCACTTGCTACTTTTATCATCATTGCTGGGGAGGGAATCCAGGGCCTTGTTCATAAACATTCTACCTTTAATGCCAGAAGAGGGCATTGGATCCCTGAGTTATAGTTGCTTATAAACTGCCCTGCAGGTACTGGGAATTAAATCTAGGTCCTCTGGAAAAGGAGTAAGTGCTCTTACTCCTGAATGTAATTCAGTTACATTCCCAGCCCTATAGCCTCTCTCTTTGAGGTAGAGCCTCACCTTGAACTCAACTGCTTCTGCCAGCCCTGTGGTCTAAATGAGTTTGTGTGTCTCTGAATTGCAGTAAAGGATTAGCCCAGGTCAGAAGTCTTAGTGCCCAAGTGACCACTGATCTTAACCATGGGTCCTGGCCTCAGCTGTCTCTTCCATGTTTGGGCCTCTAAAGGTTCCTTCTTGTCCCCACCCACATTTATCCTATAGTGTCTTGCTATGTTTTCCAGGCAAGATGTTCCTGCTATGCCTATCTCACAGTTCCCAACTGTTCCATATCAATAGAGTGGTGCTGGCTACTCTAGACTGACTAGTGGTCTTGTGGCTACATCCTCCTGTTTCCACATGGGATCTCTTGAATTCTACTGAAGTAATTTCTGTTGTTTGTTTTTTGATAGGGTCTTTGGCTGGCCTGGAATGTACAGAGATCTGCCTGCCTCTGACTCCACAGTGCTGGAATTAAAGGTGTGCACCACACCTAGCTTTCTCAAGTGGTTTCTGATGCTTACTACAGGTTGTGGTTCTTTGTCTTCCCAGTGCCAGGTGGAGCTCAACAGGAAGGTACTTGTGGACCTGGCCATCTATGAACCAAAGACTTTTAAATCTTTGGCAGCTTTGGCTAAGAGGAGGCAGCAAGAAGGATTTGCTGCAGCTTTGGGGGATGGAAAGGAGCCTGAGGGCATCTTTTCCAGAGTGGTGCAGTACCACTGAAGGCTTCAGTGCTGTGGAGATTGTTATAAACAAGATAGGAGCAGAAGGATTGTCTGGTCACCAGTAAGTCTGATTTGTATTTATTTATATTTTAGCAACAGGCCTGAGAGAAAAGGTTTTTACTCAATGGTACAGCCCCAAATTTGCCCTGTAAAGATTGTACAAATAAAGCCTTGAAGTGTTCAGTTTGTGAGTTATTTTCTGGCATCAGGCAAACACGCCTTGAGATTTATAAAGCCTCTGAAGTGCCCATATACTTGTTATCATTGACAGCCTGTTATGTGGGAGTAGTAGGATTCAGCTTTGCATGCTGCTTTTTCCCTATGAAGTAGGGGTTCTACACCAGGCTTCTGAAGTGACACCCAGTTTTCTGGTCTGCCTTAAGTATTCTCAATCTGTACGCTTATTGTAAACAGGAATGATGTTAACCTCTCTTTTGGTCTTTTCCTTATGTATGGCATGGGCCCAGTGGTTCAGCTGTTGAGCCACTAGCTTGTTTCCCTGTCTCTTTCCTTGGGTACAGACCAGGGGAATATGTCCTCATATCAGGAATGTGGCTCTTGGTCTCAGTCTGAAAGGGTGAGTCAGCTTTAAAGGATGACTTCCAAACTTACATCATCTATCTGGGTCTTTTAACAAGACTGCTCTGGAAGGTTCAGGAATAAAATCTGGAAAACTCATTAGCAGCAGCAACTCAGCAACTTTAGTAATGCTGTATAATGCAGACTTTTTCACTCTTCCTCCTGCAGTGGATAATGTATTCTTCCCATCCCTGGTCTTCTTGGCATCCTGGCTCACTCAGAGACTGTTGTCTCTTAAAACCTTATTTCCATGTCTCTATCATGCACTCCCTTGCCTTCATTCTGGTGTCCGCTTCTTGCCTTCCATGATTGGGTCTGCATTTGATTTCACCAAAGCCATTTCCTGGAAACAAAACCTAGCAGACCCTGATGATGAATGACTCTTTTCCTTGATTTACTTTCTTCTCTGTTATTACAAAATCTTAATGGGCCATTTTTGTAGTCTACTTTGTGGTGACAGTATTGTAGGGCACTATTCCTGAGATATGGACAGCCGGGTATTCACCCCATATAGGGAACCATTGACTGACCAAAGTAAAGATACTACTAAAGTCCAATTGGTGAACCAATGAGTTTATTGGGGTTACTTAATGGGATCAGAAATGACTCAAAGCTGAACCACAAAAGCCCACTATAACATGAGTAATGACTTACGAAAACTGGAGTGCACTGAAGTGTTTTTTTGTTTTTTGTTTTTTTCCCCAAGACAGGGTTTCTCTGTGGCTTTGGAGGCTGTCCTGGAACTATCTCTGTTGACCAGGCTGGCCCTGAACTCACAGAGATCCGCCTGCCTCTGACTCCAGATCACTGGGATTAAAAGTGTGCGCCACCACTGCCTTGCACACTGCTCTGCTTACAAGCGGTTCCACAAGTTGGAGAGTGTCTTTTCCAGACAGCTTGGCTTATCTGATAGCTTCTCAGTAGTACTTATAGCTGATGATGTCATATGCTTGGGAGTCAGTTTCAGGGACATCCTGAAACTATTTATGTTAACTTTTTTTTTTTTTTAAATAGTGTCTCTCTAAATAGCCCTAGCTGTTCTGGAACTCAGTTTGTAGACCAGGCTCAGGCTGCTCTCAAACTCAGAGTTCTACCTGCTTCTGCCTCTGGAGTTCTGGGATTATACGTAAGTAGCTACCTGGCTATCTGTGTTTTAAAGAGCTTCCCCTGAAGGATGGAATGTTTTACTTCCTTTAATAATATCCTTTGTCGGGCTGGAGAGATGGCTCAGAGGTTAAGAGCACTGACTGCTCTTCCAGGAGTCCTGAGTTCAATTCCCAGCAACCACATGGTGGCTCACAACCATCTGTAATGAGATCTGGTGCCCTCTTCTGACATGCAGGCTATAATGCAGATGGAACACTGTATACATAATAAATAAATCTCTCTTTTTTTGATATAAATAAATCTTAAAAAAAAAAAAAGAATATCCTTTGTCATACTATCATCCCATGTTTCTGAAGGAAAGGCCCAGGTCAGCTTTATTTGTTGACCCCCCTTGCTATAGAGACCCTGTAGTACCTGTCTCCTCCAATTAGAACCATACTGTATTCTGGTGACACCATCCTTCATCCTTGCCACCAGTTGCTTAGGAATCATTCTGAGCTCTTACTCTGAACTCAATGCCCACTTGTAGCACCATATATAACTAATCATATCCTGACCATCCCTGCCTCCTACATTTTGTTGTTGTTGACAGTTTTTTTTTTTTTTTTTTAGTTTTTTGAGACAGGGTTTCTCTGTGCAGCTTTGGAGCCTATCCTGGCACTCACAGAGATCCTCCTGCCTCTGCCTACTGGGTGCTGGGATTAAAGGCGTGCGCCACCAATGCCCGACGTTGTTGACAGTTTCATGTAGCTCAGGCTAGCCTGGAACTTGCTAAATAGGAAGTGTGACTTTGAATTCCTAATCTTCTGCTTCCTAAGTGCTAGGAATATAGGTATGCAACACCATGCCTAGTTTCTGGGATACAGGGTATTGAACCAGGGCTTCAGGAATGCTAGGCAAGCATTCTATCAACTCAGCTATATTCCCAGTTCCTACAGATCACTTGGTTTGGGGGCTGGAGAGATAGCTCAGTGGTTAAGAGCACTGGCTGCTCTTCCAGAGAACCCTGGTTCAATTCTCAGCACCCACATGGCAGTTCCAGGGTATTCAACACCCTCATACTGGCATGAGTGCAGACAAACACCAGTGCACACCAAGGAAAATGAAATACAATCTATAAAAAAATACTTGGATCTGTCCTCTATTCTGTAACATCACTGTAGGCCAGCTTAATTTTGGCTTCCATTACTAAAGATTCCTACAAGGCCCCTTTGATTTTTTTTTTTCTTTTTTCTTTTGTCATCAGGCTAAACATCACTGCACTGAGTATTTGTGTCTTGTTTGTAATAGTGTCACTTTGCTGTGTGTTCAATACATATTACTCATTAGCTAATGGTTATTGAACAGATGGGGTGGAAGATACAGGCTTTAATTTGTACTTAATAAAGACAAGAGATGTTGCAAACCACTGAGTTGTACACAGCATCCCTATCCAGCCTATGTTTTTCTTCCTGTTGGGTGTTAACATTCATCTACAGTACCAGAGTCTGGTTTGAATAACTAGAGCCAACAATCTCTTCCAATTCTTTGCCCAGGGAATCAGCAAGTAGCCAGGCAGTGACAGCCTTGGACCCTTGTGCCCACCTTGGAGTTGCAGTCTAGATAGAGATGGGTGGACATCAACAATATGACCAACATGGGTGGGTAGAGGACAGGAGATGTGGTCTTGGTAGGATCTGCTTAGGCAATGGAATCAAATCAACTCACTACAGCTGGACTGTGGAGTGCTGACTATTGGCAGCCTTGTTCGAAGCTCAAAATACCCGAATTGGACCTATCTAGGAACATCCTTACCCTCCAGTGTCCCTCCCATTTTCTCCTTTCACCAAAGCTGCAGTTTTGGTGAAAGCTTGAGATAACTCAGCAGTGACAGATAGTTAACTCCATCTACTGCATAGTTTTGGTTGAAACTAGGCAGGTCAGGAATGGAGCCAGGGATAAGTACTGTCTGTAGGGTCAACTCCAAGCCTTTTCCTGTCGACCTTCAAAATCTCTGGCCATTCTTGTTCTGTACACAAGAAATTGAGAGTGATGAAATCTGACAATTGCAGTTCTCTTTAATTTGTGCTTAAAAAAAAATAAAGATCCGTTTACTTATGTATGTGAGTGCTGTTTGCACTGTATGCTTGCATGATAGAAGAGGACATCAGATCCCATTGTAGATGGTTGTGAGCCTCTATGTGGTTGTTGGGAACCGAACTGAGGATCTCTGAAAGGGCAGCCAGTGCTTCTAACCGCTTAGCCATCCTCCAGTTCCTTAACCTGCACTTTTAATGCTGAAAGATCCACCCCACAGCTGTAGCAGAGCCAGAGGACAGCAGGAAGGGTTGAGAACTAAAGACCCTGGACTAAATCGCGCTGTAATGCTGTGCGCGTGAGACTGTGGGGAAGAAGTCACCCTGTCCCTATACCCACGGAAAGACTCCCTTCTAGAGCCGGACTCCGAGGCAGGAGTACTTAACTCTCTTCCGGACTGACCGCTTCCGATTCTGGCCAGGCCGCGGAGCCGAGTGGGTAACGAGCGGCCCCACCCGTGGCCACTTCCGGCGTCAGCGGCTGACGCGATACAGAAGAACAGGTCGTACGGCCAATGGGGTAGAGGCGGCGGTGACGTGTAGCCAATGGGCGGAGGCGGGGCAGGGCGGCCGGGATCGTCTCGAGGAGCCGCCCTCCGGGAAAGCCCCGAGAAAGAATCGGCGGCACAAAATGGCGGCGGCGGCGGCGGGGGCTTCGGTGTTGGCGGCTCCCGCGTTGGCGGCCGGCTCTTCCGGCTCGGGGGGAGCCGCCCCAGGGTCTCAGGGGGTGCTGATCGGTGACAGGCTGTACTCAGGCGTGCTCATCACCTTGGAGAACTGCTTGCTCCCCGACGACAAGCTGCGCTTCACGCCGTCCATGTCGAGCGGTCTCGACATCGACACAGAGACTGGCCTCCGCGTGGTGGGCTGCGAGCTCATCCAGGCAGCCGGCATCCTGCTCCGCCTGCCGCAGGTAAGGGCGCGGCCACGGGCTTTGTAGGTAACCGTCCGCCGGTCGGCCGACAGTGCCAGGCCTTTGTTGTTGGCTTGGCCCACAACCAACCGGGCCTGGACCCGGCCCGCACCTCAGCCTTGACATAATCCTCCCGAGTCCGTGCTTCGAACCCGACCGCTGACCGCCTTGGAGTGGGGCCCGCTCCCGGACTTTCCTTCACCCACCCACCTCAGGCGAAGGTCCTTTATTACAAACCCCGGCACAGCCTCGCAATACAGAAATTCTTTGGGGAAACGGAAACTGTCGTGGGTATTTGTCCTGGGCGCGGGAGGGAGGCGGGGGACGGACTACACAAGACATCTCAGCCGGGACAGGTTTGAGGTCTGCCTTCAAAAGTGATGGAATCTTCTCCGTCCTTAGGTGGCCATGGCTACAGGGCAGGTGTTGTTCCAGCGGTTCTTTTACACCAAGTCCTTCGTGAAACATTCCATGGAGGTAGGCTTCCTTCTGTTTTATCAGACTAATGA